GCTGCTTCTCCCCAGAGCCCTGGGAAGGAGTAAGATGACCACAGTCCTGCATGACAGCAACTCAGCAAAAGCTCTGATCCCCTCCAAATCCCAAGTGTCCCCACACAGTTCCAGTCCAGTCTGCCCTCCCTCTGCTGGAGCCCAAGGTGAGTGGCTGTGGCTATTTTAGCCTCTGTCCCCTATCCCGGCTCTGCGCTGTGGAGCCACTTGGGAGTTTAACCCGAGGGCACTGCTCCCAGCTAAGGCCGCTGCTGTCTGTGGGCTCCCAGTCCCCCTCTCACGCCTTCACAATCTTACCAGGATCGAGTTAGTGTCCCTGGTTATATGGTCCTCACAAGCTGCTTTTCTGTGCTTTTTCCTGTTGATTTGTATTTTAGTTGTAATTCCAGTTTGGTCCTGGGAGACAGTCTGTAGCTTCCATTCACTCTACTGCCATTTTGGAATCTATTTGCTACAACTTTTTATTATTGCCTCCTTAGGGGACAATATTATAGGTAGAAACTGAACAACCAGAACTTGCCCCTGGTGAAAGCGATCCTGGTAGAAAGGAGACACAGTAGAAAGGAGACACAGGTAGGAAGCATTTCCACCTGGGTCAGAAGAGAATGTCTGTGGTTTGGAAGCAGGAGGTGGAAAAGGAATTAGTTTGAACTTGTTCCTGCAAGATTGACTTTTTTTTTTTTTTTAAGGAATCTCAGCTAAAAAATTAATGTAGATTTTGCATTTTGCTCTGTAGTGTGATTGCTTTATAAAATTAATATTTTAAATTATATGCTACAGCATAAAAGTGATCCACATGTGTCCTATGGCTTCTAGGAATCCTGGTATTACCTCCATACTGATCCGTGGCCCTTGGTAAAGCAGTTTAAGTTTTTATCTTTTTAAATGTGGCTTTTATTGTAGTTCATTTTGGTACTTCTTTCAAAACAGTAGGAAGCATTGGTTAGTACATACTTCAGAACATTTATTTATTTTCTGTTTATCTTCAGATAGTGTGGGAAGGAGTGGAGGAGAGAGGGAGAGAGAGACACATTGACTGGTTGCCTCCCGCACGACCCCAGCCAGGGCTGGGGACCGAACCGCAACCCAGGTATGTGCCCTTGGCTGGATTCGAACCTGAGACTCCTTAGTCTGCATGCCGACACACTAACTGCTGAGCCACACTGGCCAGGGCTATTTTAGGACCTTTAATCAAGAGTGACATTGTTGGGGTGGTGGGGGAAGGGAAGAGATAAATCACAACTTATATGCATGTATGCATAACCAATGGACATGGACAACAAAACTGGGGACGGGGTTGGGGGGATGAGGAGGAGGATGTCAATGGGAAAAAAAGGAGAAACATCTGTAACAAAAATAAATTAATAAGAAAAGAAAAGAGTGACATTGTGGGCCTGACCGGTGTGGCTTAGTGATTAGAGCACTGGCCCACAGACCAAAGGATCACTGGTTCAATCACCAGTCAAGGGTACCTACCTGGGTTGCAGGTTCGATCCCCGGCCCTGGTTGGTGCACGTGCAGGAGGCAACCAATTGATTTGTCTCTCTCACATTAGTGTTTCTCTTTCTCATTTCCCCCTTACTCCCTTCCACTCTCAAAAAATGAATGTAAAAAATATCCTTGGGTGAGGATTAAAAAAAAACAAAAACAATGACAATGTGCTCTTGGTTTACAACGATGAGAAAAATGAGAAAACAGCAATAGAAATGTGAACATATCCAGTGCTGAAGGAGTTGCTGGAGGAACCAGCAGAGTGGAACTGAGCTAGGAAGGTTTGTAGATGACGGCTTTCACGTAAAGGACTACAGCATGGCTTGGCAGCAGGAGGGAGGGCATTTCTTTCTGTACAGGGAGAAGAGGACTTGGAGAGAGGAGTGGTGCAGTGGCTGCTGCAGCTGTTAACAGCTGTCACCCTTTGTCAGAATAGGGGGCGTGGCCCACTGGAAAGAGCACTGGACAGGGGGAGTCTGGTTTCACTTGTCTGATTTGCTGAGAGCAATTGGAGAAGTTACTTTACCCTTTCTAGACCTAGTGTTGTTTTTAATCCTCGCCCAAGGATATTTTTCTATTTCTCCTCAGATAGAGTGGGAGGGAGGGAAGGGAGAGAGAGAGAAACATTGATGTGAGAGAAACACAGACTGGTTACCTCCTGCACGACCCCGACCAGGGCTGGGGACGAACAGCAGCTAAGTTACTCCAGAATCAAACCCGGCACTCTCTGGTCTGTGGGCCAACACTCTCAGCTGAGCCATACTGGTCAGGGTTAGACCTAGTTTCTTTAAATTGAGGGAGTTGAAATAATAGGATCTGTGGTTCACCTTCCAGCTCTAGCACTCAGTACTTCTGACACACCTGTTGGATGAGATGGCCTGGGACTTTCCCTCCCAGGGTAGTTTCTGTTACATTGCAGTTTTCTTGAGAGGCTTGCTTGCCTGTCGCCACCAGGGGTAAAATATGAGCCATTCATATCTGCCCTGTTCCTGTCACTTACTTTAGTTGGATCTCGAATTCATGTTAATCCCTTTTGCTGCTGTTTCTCTTGTTCAGTAAGTCCTTCAGAATCTTTCTCGTGGGCTGTTGCTGTGGTTAACATGACCTCACCTTGTATCCCTGTGCACTCGAATTTATCCTTTTTAAAAAAAAACAGTTTATTGTGCTGGCCCATTTGGCTCAGAGGTTAGCCCGCAGACCAGAGAGTCCTGGGTTCAGTTCCTGCTAAGGGCACATACCTCAATTGCAGTTTGTCCCATGTGGGTGGCAGCCACTCAGTGTGTCTCTCTCACATCGATGTTTCTCCCTCTCTCTTCCTCCCTCCATCCTGCTCTTTCTGAAGATGAATGCAAAAATGTCCCTGGGTGAGGATTATATATAAATCAATAAATCAATAAACATATAATTTAAAAAACAGTTTATTGATTTTTAGAGAAAGAGAAATATCCTTGTGAGAGCACAGCATTGATTGGCTGCCTCTTGCAGGTCCTCACCAGGAATCGAGCCCACAACATGGGCATGTGCCCTTGACCAGGATTCAAACCAGCGACCTCCTGGTGCACAGAATGACACTAAACTAACTGAGTTACACTGGCCAGGGTAGAATTTATCTTTTGTACACAGCAGCTAGATTAATCTCACTGTGCCTCTCCTCTAACTGTACTGGATCTCCACTGTCTTCCAGAGAAAGGCTACAGTCATTAACTCAGTATTCAGTATCGACTGTCAATCTTAGCTCACATTACTCCCCTCACATAATCTAAAGAACAGTTAAACTGAACCTGATATCCTCTTGGTGCCTTTGTTCATGTTGTTTCTGGCACCTGGTTATACTCTGCCTTTCCCCATTGTCAAACACGTCACAGTTTTTCCATCTCAGGCTTCCCACAGCCAGAAAAAATCCTTTTCTTCTCAACTCCCATAGCACCTTTTCTGTACCTAGGAGTGCTAATTACTTTGTTTGTCTTTGTTTTTGTTTTTGTTTTTGTTTTACTATTCTTATCGCCTAATTAAACTAAGCTCCCCAGTGCTTAGGAAGTACTGTATTATCTCACACAAGGTGCCCAGTAAATATTTGTTGAATGAATGAATCCTGCCTGATTATAGTTCAGATCCTTGTTATCTCTGATTAGTAGTTTTTCTTATTTTTCTGGACAGTCACTAACAAGAATAGAAAAGTAATCTGCCCAAAGGAATTAATAAGTTAATAGAAGAATAAGAATCATTGCTATAGCTGTGTTAATTCCCATGTTGCATTTAAGGCAAGCAAAATGTTTTCAAGCTTGAATCTTATTTTTTTGGTGTCATTCACCTGGGCTTTCAAGGTGCAGTATAGGATACCTTCCTTTTCAGTTGAACTACCTCAATGTGGTTTGTGTTTTATTTGTATCAGTTAGTATGCTTAACAACTTTTTGTCCTGTGAAAAATAAAGTAATAATTGGAACAATTAAAATAGTTTTACAAAGGAAGTGTACTGTTTTATTATTGAAGCAGACTGTCCTTGAGTACATGCTGCCATAAGTCGGTGTTAATGTCAGAACTTGCGCCTTACACACCCTTGTGCTTTCAGAATCATTAGTAAGATCCTGAAAAGTTTGGTGAATAGATATAAAGATCTGATTATGAGCTGGTCAGACCACAAGTATAGTGAGCCCTTGGAAAATGGTTTGCATGCAGAAGACTGGCATCTGGTTGAAAGAATGCGGGCAAACTTTGCATCACAAGAGTTGATGACTTAGAACATATTCCATCACCTCAGAAAATACTGGTTTATTATTAGAGACTGAGAAGAGAAATGGGATCTCCTAAAACTCCCCACTGTCACTTTTTGACCCTGTAGCTCCGCTCAACTAATCTTTGTTTAAAACACTGTGCCAAAACATGCCTTGACGCCATCTACCTGAACCTCGAGGAAGGCAGTACATCTTACCTAGGATTAGATCGTTAACGTAGACGTTACCTCACTTCTCTCCAGATGTAAGAGTAACCTCAGTTCTAGCAATCTGTCATCAGTCATGTAGGTGTCGTGTCCTTAAAATAAAAACTGCCTCATTGCTTACTACCAGTGCTTTTTTCAAAATACAGTGGTTCTTTAAAGCTGTTGCAGATGCCTTCCCTATTGAAACTGATAAGTAAATGAAAAGTTTCTACTTAATTACATATTTGCTCCTTTAGTCTCTTGCCATTAAAATAGAAAGCAATACAGCATATTTATGTAAGTTAATCTCTTTGATAATTATGCTAGCATTGAGTTATAAAAAGAGGTATATGTGTGTTTCCTTTAGTGTGCAGATCAAAGGGATGTAGCTTGGCAAGGAGCAAGGTGAGAAATAAACCCCACGGAAAACAAAAACTGGACTCTAGTTGCTCTTCTAGCAAGAATTATGGGAGGTGGTTAGAGTTGATCCATGACAAGCACTTCGCTACACTGACGTAGGGAGGAGACACACATGGATTTTAAGAAATCTCTGTTTGATTTCTCAACCTCTCTCTCTCTCCTTCTTTTCAGGAGTTAGAAGCTGCTCTTCACAGAGATGATGTAGAGTTTATCAGTGACCTGATCGCCTGCTTGCTTCAGGGCTGCTATCAGCGAAGGGATATCACGTGAGTAATTCTGATCTTACTAAATTTTTTGCTGAGAGAATCAACCAGTCAACCAGTCACAGTGATGTTTCATGTCTTCTAACAAACCAAACCTCATCATTAGCCAGTACTACGTAACAGTGTAGACTGAGGATTTACAAATGGATTCCCATCTGTAATACTTTCAACAATAAAGATAAAATTTTAAAAACAAGACAAATTGATTCCCAAACCCTGTGTTTGGCTCTATCTGCAGGTGACTTATTTTAGACAAAGAGAGAGAAAAACATCGATGTGAGAGACGAACATCAATCTGTTGCCTCCCATACACACCCCAACTAGGGATTGAACCCACAACCTGAGTGTGTGCGCTGAGTCGAACTGGCGACCTTTTAGTGCCCGGACAGTCACTCAGCCAACTGAGCCACACCACCAGTGCCTGCAGTTGGCTTTTAACTTTATTATAGTCCTAGACTTTACCTCTCTCTCACAAATATATATCCCTTACTCTTGGATCATTCAAATGTAGAATTTCTTCCCTCGCCAGTTTGGCTCAGCGGTTAGAGTGTCGGCCTGCAGTCCAGAGAGACCCGGGTTCGGTTTCCGCTAAGGGCACGTACCTCGGTTGCAGTTTGTCCCCGGCCCTGGTTGGGTTGTGTGGGTGGCAGCCACTCGATATGTCCGTTTCATGTCGCTGTTTCTCCCTCTCTCTCTCTCTTTCTTTTTTTTTTTTTATCCTCACCCGAGGACATTTTTCCATTTTTTACTCAGAGCGGGAAGGAGAGAGAGGAAGAGAGAGAAACATCGATGTGAAAGGGACACATCGAGTGGCCACCACCCACACGACCCAACCAGGGCCGGGTACAAACTGCAGCCAAGGTACATGGCCTTAGCGGGAACCGAACCCGGGTCTCTGTGGACCGCAGGCTGATGCTCTAATCGCTGAGCCAAACCAGCCATGGCTCTCTCTCTCTTTCTCTCTTTCCCTCCCACTCTATCTGAACAAAAAATGGAAAAATGTCCTCAGGCGAGGATTAAAAAAAATGTAAAATTTCTTCTTCTCAAGCATATTCCTTTCTTTCTGATTTTTATATACAGTAATGTTGCCTAATAAATTAAAACTAGATTTTTAACATGTTTCAGCCTCTGGAATATCTTTGTAGTTCTCATACACAGCAGTGTAATTTTTAGCAGGGACCTTGTAGCCCTCACTCCATATTTGCTGAGTATCAACTCTCTAGTACATTTGAGATATGCAGGAATTTGGAACAAAGCTTTATCTATTTAAGCAAAGAGAGGATCCTCCTGATATTATCCCTTGTTTTGACCCTAACTTGATATACTTTTTTTTGCTTCTGCATTTCGACACTGAACAGAAATGTACGGCCACTCTCAAAAGCTCAGGTACAATGGGTTTCCTAGTCTCTGGCCCTCCAGTCCATGCAGGGGTGTGGATGTTGTGTTTTATATTGTTCAGATAGTTAATATTAAATCCACTCGTAGGTGTCAGTTAAGGCTGGGAAATTAGGGCTGATATTAAATGTGCAATAAACTTGTAGTTACTAGGTGAGTAAGAAGTTGATGAAATGCTTCCCACCCCCGGTTGGGGGGAATGTCTGTATTCCTTAAGGGAGAGTTATTGCTCCTGGACTCACTGTTAATATGATTTTGTCCCCTTAGAATACCCAGGTTGTTGTACTAAAACAAAGAGTAGAAATGAAAGGGGAAAATCATCTATTGTATTATCACTCAAACATAATGAGGTTTTTAGTGTGTTTTCTCCCATTCTCTTTGGGATGTAAGTTGGTGGTTTGTGTGGTTTTTAAGTACAGTTGTAGTCATACTGGATATATAATTCCACATTTTCATATCTTGCTTTTTTTTTTCCATTATAATGATTAGTTTTCTTATAATCACCTTTTTTTAAAATTTGTCAAAAATCCAATTTTGTAGATAGACATTTTTGTCTAGCTTGTAAGTGTTGAAAACATGTTATAATTTACATTCTTAGACATAAAACGTTTATACACCTAGTGAATCATCTCCTTAGTTTAAATTTCTGGAAGTCAGTCAAGAGAAATGCCTATTTAAGACTTTTTAGGGAAACTGTCTGGCTGCCTACCCAGGGGTTATTCCACTTTGCCTTTGAACCACCTGTGTGTGAGCATCTGGCCCTTGTTCTGAACAGTGCCCGCCGGGTGCTCGCCACCAGGTCCTTGTAGAACAGGCTCTTCGGGGCCTTCGCAGAGCTGCAGTCCTGTGCTGCGGTCACTGCAGTGTGGCTGTAGGGAGCGGGCCACGTGGTTACTGTGACCAGTGCTCTGAAGTCCGCGTGGCCCGCACCCTGCTGTGAGACAGTGGTACTGTGACCGAGCCTTTGCATAGGAGCTTTCTTAGGCCAGTTTCTACATATAATCAAGCCCAGTAAACAACTCTTTGAATTGACGAGTGAGCCCAGCAAAGAACTGCAGATAATACGAGTGATTGTTGCAGGGTTGGGGAACGTCCGGCCCATGAGCTGCATAAGGCCCAAGAAGTCCGAACCAGCTAACATAACCTGCCTCACCAGATGAGCATGACCAAATACAGCAGGATAATTTTTAAGTTGATACTTTTGTATGACCTGTGAATAATGTTATAAATATCCAAATGGCCCTTGGCAGAAAAACAGTTCCCTACCTTGCTAGGGTTTGACACCCTGGAGCCAGAGCCAAGTGTTTGAGTTGCACAGTCCTTGATCCCTGAGTGTTAAATTTTGATTTGTTGCCAACGTCTAAAATGAGATTTTATATTTAAAATCCTAATTTGTAGGCTTTAGAAAACGTCAAATGGTCTGACACCTATTCACTTGGGGGAAATGGCCTGTGTGCTCTGGCTACCTTAGTCCCCAGGGTTCTTGATTGCTCTCCCTTGCTGAGGCTCATCATTACCGTCCAGCACTTTGACTTGGCCCACCCTGTTTATTTTCTTTAACTATTTGTCTCCTGCATGCATTTCAGTTCAAGGAATCCAATATGGCCACAGCACACTAGGAATTGCAGCCTAACAGGCCATGTAGGCTAGATTAAGAATTTGGGGGTATAATCCTAAAAGCAAGGAGAGCAGGAGAGTGTTGAGATTTGTGTTTTTAAATTAGCATCTTTGAGCAAAAGGGGAAATGGGAAGATCAGATTGGGGCTAATGAATTAATCAGGCAAGAAGGAGAGAAGTAGACAGTGAAGGACTGTCAAGGTAAAATGAACTGGACCTGGTGTCTAATCTTGACCCATCTGATAGCTAATAGCTGTTTTAACTTGCATTGTGTTGATTATTCTTTACATGTTTTACATTTTTTCTTAGGTTTATTGCACATACTTATTATTTTTGTGTACTTGAATTTCCTGTGATGTACTTAGATCATTTCTTTTGTTGATGTGTTGATTGAAGATAAGCAAATGACATAACCATTTACAATTTGCCAGGCTGCCCTCCTCATTGATGGTTCTATTTTACTCTTGCATGAGAGTGTTTGTCTACCCTTAGCAGCTCCAGACATTACCCATAACATGCCACCCCTGAGTGCTAGCAGAACAAAAGTATCTCCTCTCCTTTGTGGAGCTGGGAGTCCTCAGGGTGTGGACGTGGGCAGGCTGTGGTGGAATATCGTTAGGGGCACAGTATCAATGGGACAACCCCCTCTCTGTTGGTGTGGTGCCTGTTTGCATAAGCTGGAATCACTTGCCTTAAGTCTTTTTTTTTTTTTTATCCTCACCCGAGGACATTTTTTTTCCATTTTTTACACAGATAGAGTGGGAGGGAGAGAGAGAGGAAGAGAGAGAGAGAGGGAAACATCGATGTGAAAGGGACACATCGAGTGGCTGCCACCCGCACGACCAACCAGGGCCGGGGACAAACCGCAACCGAGGTACATGCCCTTAGCCGGAACCGAACCCGGGTCTCTCCGGACCGCAGACCGACGCTCTAACCACTGAGCCAAACCTGCCAGGGCTGCCTTAAGTCTTTTAGCCCTGGCCGGTTTTGCTCAGCAGTTAGAGCGTCAGCCTACGGTCCAGAGAGACCCGGGTTCAGTTCCCGCTAAGGGCACGTACCTCGGTTGCAGTTTGTCCCCGGCCCTGGTTGGTCGTGCGGGTGGCGACCACTCGATGTGTCCCTTTCACATCGATGTTTCTCTCTCTCTCTGTTCCTCTCTCTCCCTCCCACTCTATCTGAACAAAGAATGGAAAAATGTCCTCGGGTGAGGATGATAAAAAAAAAAAAGTTACAGCTTTATTCATTTAGGTCAGACACATTCCTGGCTATTTAAATTTTTGTTGATCTTTTTTTTAATATGTTTTTTATTGATTTTTTTTTAGAGACAGAGGAAGGGAGAGAGAGATGGAAACACTGATGTGAGAGAGAAACATTGATGGACTGCCTCCTGCTTGCCCCCCTACTGGGGATCAAGCCCAGGAATCAAACCAGGACCTCTCAGTCCATGAGACGATGCTCAATCCACTGAGCCACATGAGCTGGGCAATTCTTGTTGCTCTTAAGAATATAATCACATTCATACTGCAGGTACTTTTAAATATAGAATAGATTCTGTGTATATAAACCTGCCCAGTTTATTAATTGTTTTAAGTTGATTCTCTTTTGGTTTTCTAGGGTTATCGTTCCACTTTGTACTTGTACTCTTGCCTACTTCATGATGTACTACTCACCTACTGCTGTGTAACAGATCACCCTAAAACTCAGCAGTTTCAAAACAACACAGATGTTTTATACCACATTTCTGTGGGTCAGAAACCTGGGCACAACTGAGCTGTGTATGTCTAGCTTAGGGTCTCTTACGAGCTGCAGTCAAGGTACCAGCTGGAATTGCCGTCATCTTGAGGCTTTGGTGGGGGGGATCCATGTGTTTGTTTTCTGTCACTGCATAGCAAATTTCTACAAATTTAGTAGTTTAAAAACATTTACTGTTTTCTCACGGTTTTATACACCTGGCTTTTCTGGTCTTCTGCTCCAGGGTCTCACGGGGCCGC